CTACATGGACCCTTTGGGAAAAAGCACCTACATCGTACAAACCCTAGTTTCTTTAGTAAGAACTTCCCTTATGGTTTGGGTAAGTCTTTCCTATCTGGGTACTTCAGACCCTTTGGGGAATTTTTGCGGTCAAGCACATTACAGTATCCCCACGGAAAAATGCTACTCAACTGGGATTGCCGTTGGGTGATGGGTTTAGTAACGGCTGTTGCTGGTTTACGGTTTCAGGTTCAGCTTGAAAACTCGGCGATATTGCAGGCTGCAGTCTAAAGGGATGGCTGTAAGCAGTAGCTGCTGAGTACAGTAGCTTGGGGGTTCCAATAAGCAATGGTTTAGGGTTTATAGTGTTGCTTCTGCATAGGCATAGACCTTATACGGAGCGCTACCTTCATAGCTGATTTTAGGACCATGGGCAGTCAAATGAGCAACCTTAATTAGGCGCGGGGCAGCGGACCTAGACTTCTCTATAACAGGCTTCAAAAGGCTCCTTGTAGTTAGGCCACGTGAATGGCGGGTTGCGAGGCTAAGTAGAGCCCTTTCAAAAGGCCTGAACAAGGAGACATATGGGTGGTTCTAACGCTTGACATTTCTGATGCAGGAAGACTAATTATGGATACTGGAAATTTGGCCGTCAACACCAGGGCCACATGTTTTGGACCCAACCAGTAGGGTGCTGCTTCATGAGTACTTAATACCAGAAAGGGTTCCCGAATGGGGGGGGGGGGTGCTTCTATCAACTGCCCATATTGCTGATCTATTACAAGACGAAGGATCAACCAAGTTGCCAGTCCGAACTCTACACGCCCCGAAAAAGCATGCTGACAAAGACACGAATTTGCGAGGATTTCTCCTGGACGGGAGGACACAGTATTGGAAACAAACGACGATTTTCTAAAGGTGCAAACTCCCATCTTGCGGGAATAGACACGTACCTAAGCAAATTGGTTACATTACGGTGTACTCTACCGCTCTTCCGAGTCGAGTTGGAAACAATCAACGCATGCTGTGCAGTCTACAGGTCAATGGAGCAGATCCCAGCAGTGAGACCCATCGTAGGCGTAGGCTCGAAAGGTAGTTAACAGTGGCATGACCAACATAAACCTCGATGGACCATGACTTTTTGCATAATGCATTTAGCGACCTTGCGTTGCTGCTTTGATCCACTTTTGCACCTCCCGGCTCGCCTCGTAGTAGCGGAAGAAACGTACAAGCCGCGTTGCATACCTCCCAGACTGCTTGGGCTTGAGGATTAAGAGGTTCTTGAAAGGCGCATCAGAAGATCGAAACGCCGCATTCCCGGATAAAGCCCATTATATAGGTCTGTCCGTATGTTGCCCTAGGCATGGATCAGCTCCAAGGATTAGGCAGGCACAATTCAAAGTAGCTATCTGCGGGTGAAACGGTTGCAGTTCCATGCTCCAGGAGAGCAATTGGGCATGCGACAAGCTGTCAGCCAAAAAGGAGGAGTCCGTTAGGTATGACGACGTCCGCATAAACAGAAGGCACACTACCAGTGTCATCGCTGGTATTTGTGCACGATGGCGCTAGTGAAGTTGATGGTGTTCGCAGACCATCGAAGCTATCCCAACACCAGCATGCATTCAAGCTTCTGGATGTCCTATCCAAGTTGGAAAGGCCACGGCAAACATGAGCAATACCACAGGAGAACAGTCAGGCGATTCAATGTGCTTCGTAACAAATAATTAGGACGAAAGCATTGCAGAACCACATCCAAATCTCATGGCAATGCTGCGCTTCATATAGAAATACGTCCTCGCCCCGCTCATTTTGTAGCCTTAAACCAGAAGATTGGCAGAAACCCCGCCCCAAGTTGCCAGCCTAAGCCCTACGTAAACACTAACATCTGAAATTTATCCGTTTTTGGGGTCCGCTATCCCTATACAACCGTATACAAGCCCTATACAGCCCTATAAAAGCCTTGTATAGCCCCCTATAGTGAAACAACCCCAGCCGGGCACTGGCCCTCTTCCTGGACGATGTCCTTGGCGGCAATCTGCTTGCCTGTGCAGATGTCCTTCAACACCACCTGCATGTCATCGACCTCACTCAGTTTAGGGCTTAGGGGTTAGGGTTTAGTGTTCAGGGCTTCCAAAAAGGAGAGGTTCCCTCAAGATAAGCTTTGCCATGCCTTGGGCAAAAAAAGGGGCTCCTCATTCTTGGAGGTAGCCATGTAGGAATGGGGATGTTCCTGAACGGGACCCTATTTGGTTCCCTATTTCTGCGACATTGCTGAGCTACAACCGGGCATGGTCATGTTTAGTCGGTACTGGAAAGAAAGGATGCGCTGACAAGTTACAATCTGCTCAGCACCTTTCAATGTTCTCGCGCAAGCTACGCAAGCGATGCTTTCGCTGAATTTGAAGACAACTATTTGTGTAGATCAAGCTTGCAGGAATCACATCATTGGCTGTCGTTGCGGCGCAGGCGCCATCAAAGCTGAAGGTCCTATGGTGAAAGTTGTTCTTCGCATGCCACCCTAAGCACACCCTGCACCTTTTTGAAAGCTTGGAACTACTGTTTGTGGAGGAAATCTTGCACCACCTTAAGTCCCTAGAGTCCTAGAAATTACAGTAGTTTAGGGCCCCTAGGTCATCCAGAAGAGCAGCCCGCGCATCGAAAAAGATGTCGTAGACTTCTCCTCAAATTCAGACATCCGGCTGAGGTGCAAAAATACCTTTCGTAAGCCCTTTGCTGCAACATAGCTTTCATGCAACCCTGAACCACTCTTCATCCTCAGGGTGAAGAAGCCCCAGCATTTGAGCTATAGTCTAAAGTCCTAGTATCCCCCTTCATAACCTCTACAATACTCCCCAATACAATCCCCTATACAACTCCCTTTAAGGAGTTCAGACTACAACTCATTTGATTAAGCAAAGTGCCAGCTGCATGTAGCTACCTTGCCCAACCTAAGCTCTCATAACCTGGAGTGAATCCAAGCAACATGGATGCAACGTAGGGCCCTGGACATTCGGAATAGGTCTTTACTACAGCAACCTAATGCATATATATATATATATGTATATCTCTATCTATCTACGGTTAGCAAATGGTGCTCCTAGCTATTCATGCTTCTTCATTACAGACTTGCCGAGGGCACGACCAGAACAACTCTTCCACACTGGTATTACATATGCTGTGCAGGATGCCTGCAAGACCCGCTTCAGGCGCATGTATTAAGTACAATCATGCACAGAACTTAACCCTAGAAACATGCAGCGCGAATGAACCATGACATTTTCACAATTACCCGCAAACCTTGAAGCCCTAGATGGGTTTAGGGTTTAGGGCTTATAGGGTTTAGGATTTAGGGTTGAGGGTGTAGGGTTTAGGGTTTATAGACACGTTTTTGCAAGGAAGTCTCCATCTTCAGGCACCCCGAAAAGGCCTTCGTGCTGGAAGATCACCGGAGCTTTGCCTGGCATCTGCCAGCCCGTGGCCTCCACGTAGGCGTTGGGAACTGGAAATTGCTATGTTTCCCAAAGGGTCCATGCAGGTATATGGGAAATACTTGGGCCTTAACGTGGGTATATGGGAATCCCTTTGGGCCCCAAGTATATACCATATACCTACATGGACCCCTTGGGTTTTGAGAGCGTCCATCATGGAACTTCCATCTTTCAAAACGCTTTAGAGGGACCTGAAGTCACATCATTTGGAGAAACTTCCATATCAAAAGATGACGTGTCTGGTCCCCATGGCTTTTACTTATCAGGACCAATCCTTACTTGAGACCCTACGGATAATAACAAAACTCCTGCATGAACGGAATATGCTAGAATCCTGAAATTCCCAAGATGTAATGTGCTTAGGTACGCTGGCACCCAGTCACTTCTCAAAGGGCCTGCAGTGAAGTCTGCCATCTAAGATGGTGAGCCTGTGTAAAAAGACGGTTGGCTAACAAAAAGTGGTCGGGCAAAAAATGTAAGGATCTATGAGGATTGGCAGGAGTTTATGGGGGCCCCCAAGAAGGGAGGAAGATGCGAGAATATCTGAGAAATTCCGAAACATGGCGCCTCTTTTGTGCGTTCCGTATGTCGCCGCTACACTATTCGCATGTGTATGTGAGCTATAGTCTGAACTCCTAATACTCCCCTCAATAAGCCCCTTAATACTCCCCTACTGAATCCCCTATATAACTCCCTTTAAGGGGTTTAGACAAAAGCTCATATCCGAACGGCGCTTTTCACCCAACTCAGATCTTCAACCTTGTCCAGATCAACGGGCATGAAGATCCTCTCCTGGGTTGCTGTTCAGGATCTTTGACTAAGTTACCAGAATACGGGTACATAATGAATTGAAAGGACTTCCTTCTCATAGGAACTCAATTCCAATTCCTCAACAAAGGCCCAGTCTCAGCGTCGCCGCCGCAACCGAGTTGCGCCAGCTCCATGCGGATCTCCGCGAATCTTGCCTCTGTCACCCAGGGGTTTCGAGTACCTACTCATACATAAGCAACTTGGGATTTGGATGCTAGGAAGTGACATACAGGTGCGGCAGAAGCATGTGACCTTTGAAAGCTTGGGCGCCTGGTCATCTGGTAGCCATCCTCTTAAAAAACCTTCTAGCTGTAGCATAATATGCCCAAAAGCCCTATTCCATTTTTTGAGGGGGCATTGGTGTCCTCCAATACCTCTTTCAGTAGTTTGCATGTCACGGCAACATGCACGCACTAAAGCTTCCAGAGCGATTCCTGGGTGTGTGCACATCGTAGCCGTGGCGAAGACCATACATAGGCAGCCCAAGAACAGATTGAATCGTAGGTGCTTGGCAGCTTGCTTCATGTGACGATCCCAAGTCTCCCTATCTTGGGAGTGTCTATATGCAAGCTCAAAGCTCCAAAGTACAAGGATCACGTGAGCCTGTAAAATGTTTCCACAAATGGCGAATGTAATCCATGAACATCAGCATCGGGCGGTTGAAGCCCATGGCTAACGCGCTGAATTCATCAATGGACACCAAGTTTCAGCAAGAAAGCCATTCAAACGGGAGGACTGTTCTTAAGCGACTGTCACCACAGCCCCGCAACACCCACGGCGTGGACGGATTTTTGCGGAGAGGGCCCGTGGATCCTTCAACAGATGCTTCTTGTGTGGCTACTCGAAGTTCCTCACTGCCAACCAACGGTGCCTGCTTCGTATGAACCCAAAATTACAATCCCAACATTTGTCGCTATCGGAATGCATATCGAGCGTTGCCCCTATAATCAGGTACACATACTTCGAGTTCGGGAAGCCCAAAACCATATAGCAATCTCAGTTGCACTGCGTCAAGTATGCTTCACATGTGGCCTGGAGAAATTTCATAAGCCGAACCGCTCCCCTCAAAACAATAAGACGGTTTTGGGAACCACAACCGCGCCATATCAGGACCCTATAACTGCCAGTAACTACGATATGAGGATAATGGGGTCCTAATATCGGGGATTGGATTACCGCAGCCCCCTGATTTCCTAACAAAAGCTTAGTTTAGCCAGTTTCGAATCCATGTTCCATTTCATTTTCTGTGATTCCCCTGAACCGTAGGGTTGCCAGAGCCGCCGAAACCCTAAACCCTAAAAACAAACCCTCTAAAGTCCGCCGTTTCGATGCGAGTTGCAGGGCCAGGGAACTGGCAGATCTTGGTCAATTCCTGGCTTCGGGCGAAAGAAGCAGGTTCAGGGTTTAGGAGTTGGGTATTAGGAAGTAGGGTTTAAGGATTTGGGTTTAGGATTTGGGGTTTAGGGATGAGGTTTTAGGGGTTGGGGTGTAGGGTTCAGGCCTGGCTTCTTAGGGATCAGGTTTGGGGTTTAGGGCTTGGGTTTAAGGTTTAGAGCCTAGATGGCAGACTGATTGAATACTTTTCTTCAAGACTGTCAGCTCCAAGAGAAAACCATGAAAACCATGGTCCTAGACCCTCCTCCTACCCTCTATTAGGGCCTAAGTACCCACTATTAGGGGCCATATACCCCAATTAAGGGTACAAGGAGGGTCCTGGGTCAGAAAGGCAGGAAACTATGGAAAACTTTGGAAAGCGGGTGCACGAAATTTGCCAGCTGCTGGAGCCGTGTCAGAAGCATGTCTGCAGCTAGCAGCACTTCAGTAGTCTGAGTTTCAACAGCAAGGCTGCAGACATCGATTTGAGCACTGTATGTCTCAACCTCCCCTTCCTTGTCTGCCACTCCCTAAACAACAAACTGGGTTGCTGTTAAGGAACTCACTTTAAGTTACCCTATTGGGGAACCCTATTCATTATCGTAACTTAGTCAAAGTTCCTTAACAGCAAGCCAGTAAATCCTAAACCCTACACTGCCAAGCAGACAAGCTCCAGAAGGTGCAAGGCATCCTGCATGTAGGCTGCGTAAACCAGTGCGCTGTCGAAACCCAAGCCCGAATCTCTTCGTATCCTCAAGATCTTGCAGCCCTTCTCTCTTCAAGTCCTCTCCCTGCATATCCCTATCTATGTGCTAAAACACATCTACGCCTATGCATGTACATAGGTGTGTATATACACATATGCCTATGTGCTTCTGCACGAGTGCAGATTTGCGCTCATCCAAGGGTTCTGAAAATGTTCAAATAACCAACTGCTCCAGAAAACTCAGGTCCCTCGCTGCAGCCTCAATTCCGTTGGTTGCGGCTCCCGCCCAGCGCACCTACCGGAGATGAAGAAAATCATGCAACACGCTGATCCCCTCTTACAAACCCCCCCGCCCCACCCCAGCCTCCTTCATGTGAAATATTCCTGACACTCTCACAGAAAATATTTGAACAATTAAGGGGATCAGATTTTTCATGTTGCCGTTTTTTTTTTCAAAATCTCAAGTACCCTAGAAAAGTCGGTATAATGGGATCTTAAGTGGTGCAAAATTTTCTCCATCCACCGTAGGATGAAGAGCACTTTGGGGGGCTTATGACTGAGGATTTTGGGGTTTTAAGGTCTAATGGACGAAGGACATAGGATTCTAGGCAGACGGTGTGAACGTCTTAGGGAATTATGGTAGGGGTTTATGGACTAGGGTTGCGAGTTTCGTAAGGGCCTAAGGCTTGGGTTTAAGGGTTTGGGGTTCAGCTGAGGCACCGCTCCTTTCAGGAAGAGAGAGAGAGAGCAACAAAAATGCGGTGCAAGACGCATGCAGGGCCGATGGAAGGCTCTAGATGTCAATGGGCACACATTCACACATAAACGTATACGTCGAAATGTACATATATATATATGCATGTATGTGTATATAAGCGTGTACAGATATATGTATATCTATATATATATATACAGATATCCTATGTACGCGCAGCCGCGGCCCTCTTTTGCAAGCTCCTGACCACAGGATTACAGAGAGCGCCCGAGACCTCCCAAGCCACGCTCTCACACCATGAGTTGGTACTCTTGGATGCAGAGGGCTGCCAAAAAAACTAATCTCTATGTTTAGAGGCAGATTACAGGTCCCCCGCTTTTATCCCCCGCCCCAGCACCCTAAAGTACCCAAATGAATCCTAAATCCTACGCTCCAACTCAAGATCGGGCCCCCATATTTGCTTGAAGTCCTTTTTGATGGGCCGGCCTTAGCCTCCTGAACTAATGTGGTGGCTGAGGAATGGGGATCACAAGGGGCTAGCAAGGTTACGTTCCAGTTCGGAGATTATATATGATTATTGTTTCAAGCCCAAGGTCAGGGTAGTTGAAAATGTAATGAACTTTGGTGCCCTATAGCCTGAGAGGCAGGGCAGGTTGTCTGAATGCCTGGCAACCTATGAGAAATCAGGCAGGGGTTCGCATGGAAAGTATGCCTAAACCCTTTAAAGTCAGCTCTCAGAGATACCCCTAAGCCCTGGACCATGAACTCAAACTGTGCTAGGGCACCAGTTGCAGCAGAGGAATCCGGTGGCTGCCCAACATCTGAGCCTCGGATACAGTGCCCTAAGCTTTACCCTAGATACTCCTATACATATAAATATGTGTATATATATATGGCTACTGATCAAAACAACGTGCCCCGAGTGCACGTTCCTATGCCGTCAGATCCGGAGGGTCTGGATCGCATACTTGATCCGGAGGGTGTGGAACGATGACTGACGCTTGCTGGTTCCCACAATGATACAGGATGAGTATG